CAAGGGGGAGCACCGGCAGCCTCCGTTGACACCACGGCGAGTGGTGCTCACATGGTGCAGGAGCTCCTTTCCAATAATAAGGAGCTCACAGAGCAGATCATGCTCAGGCCGAATTTCCGTTACAGACCTGTCGGTTGAGGTCGACTTATATCTGAAGCTTGACAGCCGGAGGTCGTAGTGGCAGTCGACTCGACTGCCACTACGACCTCCGGCTGTCAAGCTTCAGATACAAGGAGACAGGCAACGTCAGGGCCCGATTGTTCGGCGATTCCATGTTGCTGAACTTCCCCGTCCAGGGCTCCGGGCCCGGAGGGTGCCACTTCGGCAAGGGCCTCGACCTGGAGGCGGGGGTCGCTTCAAAGGCGTTCGAGTTTAGGTTTTAAGGCTTTTTAAAGGGTTTAAGTGTGTTTAAAGCCAGGGTGCGGATGTTTGTTGTGTGTTGTTGCACTGCTAGGCTTAAGCCATGGCTTAAACATGTCAGGAAGGCGTTCAGCATGTTTCAACAAACACACATGTGCCAACTCCTGGAGTGACGCACATGAAGCTCGAACCGTGGCGAATCCACATCGCGAATCTGCTCAAACCGATCGATGCATGTAAACAGTTTAAACAACAGCCCCGCCCCAACCCTGTCTTGAGGTCCTGAACGCCACGAGCGACCATGACGCACTTAATGTCGCTATCACCGACATTCTCTCCAGCAATATGTTGGACCTCCGCACGGAAATCGTGCAGGAGATGGAGAGCGGCTTATGCCGAAATCTGCTCGAGCCCCGTGCTCAGCAGCCGAAGTTCATGCACAAACCAATGGGCAAAGGGGAGTCGATGTGGCCCCTGGTGCTTGGAACAATTTTCCTGTTCTTCGCAATGTTATTCGCTGCTTTTCTTGCTGGTCGCCAGAGTGTATATTTGGGCTGTTGTTCGTGCTTTTACAGATGTTGTGGCCGCTTGGCACCGCAAGCGTGGTCCCACACGGAGGGCCACACCAGCTCGGAAGAGAGTCACTCCGATGTGGAGAATCAGTTCTTGGGGCTGTCGAACGTGACCCCCATTTTTCAGAAATGAATGCGAGGGTTTGGGGTGAGGCCCGAGGCTACGAGTATCGCCGTGTCGCAGTGATCGATGACTGTTATGCCTCCGCCAAGCCAAGATCCACCCAACTTCCGCGTTTCACGCTGTGCACAATGTCCGAGCTGTCTGAGTTTAAAGATGGCCAACGGTAGTTACCTTGCCAGCCCGAGATTTTACTTCCAGTTCGTGCAAGCTGCAGCGCAGGTGCACAGGCACAGCAGCAGCAGGTGAGTCGATGTTAGTAGCTAGATTCTAGATGGGATGGGCACTGGTGACCTCGAACTCTACTGACATGTCAGGCAGCAACTTCAGCCAAACGAGCGTTTGGCCAAACCATGGAACGATGAATCCCTGCCGTCGTCCACGAGTTGAATCGAGTTGAAGGTTGTATAAGGGTAGGTGTATGCTGTCACATGAATTGAAGAAGACATGCCCACCTGCCTGAGAGTCCCATGCTGTCCGGGCCATGGCTGCCTTAGCGTGGCTGCTGTTTTCCTTGGCCGCTGGGGCAGCTGACGCGCGACATCTGCGCGGCCTCAGCGAGGACCTCGGCACAATGCTGCGAGGAGATGTAGCGAAGTGCAGGAGCTCCTGTCGAATAAGGAGCTCACAGAGCAGATCATGCTCAGGCCGACGCAGAACGGCTTGGTACAATCGGGCCGCCTGTATGATATCCAGATGAAGGCCGCCCACGTCGGGAAGGGGACGCACGTCTCCACCCCGGGTGGCCTGGTGAAATTTGCTGTGGAAGACCTCTCGGTGGAAGTGGAGTGCCACTACGACCTCAGGCTGTCAAGCTTCGGCTACAAGTCCTTGTGCCCGAAGCTTGACAGCCTGAGGTGGGCAACGTGAGGCCCGCTTGTTCGGCGACTCCATGTCGCTGAACTTCCCCGTCGAGGGCTCCGGGCCCGGAGGGTGTCACTTCGGCAAGGGCCTCGACCTGGAGGCGGGGGTCGCTTGAAAAGCGTTTAAGTTTAGGTTTAAAGGGTTTAAGCGCGTGAAAGGCCAGGTTTGGATGTCAATTTAATGGTGTGGATCAGCTTGGCATTTCCGGGCGCAGTGTCGTGCTCCCACCACTTGGAATGATGCTCCTGCCATCGCGAAGGCGAAGACCCACAACCAGTGTAAGGCACCAACAATAGTGGTGACTCCTGATGTACAGTGCGCGGATGACTGAGGAACCATTGTACAGAAGACTGTACTCCCCCTGAGCAGGTTCATTCCTATGTTGCACGTTCTCTGTTGCTCGGCTTGACTGGGATGTTGCTGTGGATACAGGGCACGCGAGATGCGACCTTGGGCGTGGCTTGTCTGCTGC